ATAATTGATTATATAGGTCGATGCGGCTACGCGAGCAAAACTCCACGACGACTATCTTACTGCAAGGGAAACCGCGACACAGCAACTTTATGAAGACTTCCAATTGTGGCTAAAGAACAACGAAACCCAACATGGTGAGTTCATGACGGTTGGTTACATTGCCCAACAATCATTCATTTGCATATGCAGAGGCTTGGAGCCAATCTTGGAACTATCCCGACGACATTGATGAAATATTGTAATATAAGATTTCAATGAGATGTTCTTCAGTGTGAGCAACGACTGATGCGGCTAATTATAAGTGGGATGACGTTCTTCATTCTTTTTTGCACCGGGCAATCTTTGACCAACCGGGCCAATGCGCACATGAAGGTAACAAGATGGATACGTCGTTCTAGTGACAGATCCGAATTCTAATTTGCCAGAGGGTACTTACTGCAAAGTTTGCGCTCGGAGCCGCACCTCCCACACAGGTGCCCGTATTACATCGCCTTCCGTGCCGCCCCGCCTTTCAAACCACCTCGATCGTGAACTTGGAAAATTGACTATGACTCTGCGAAAATTGCCTTCTTACTGCTGTGCCTTGAGCTTTGCTGGCCTCCGACGTTTTCTTTTTATATACGTGCGAACCGTAACAACTTGAACTATCTTCAAGATTGCTTCAAGACTATATAAACTCGATTTGCGAAATAAGTCTTCTCTCCCACTCCCACATGTCGCTCGCCCGCTTCAAACTCGTCTTCTTCTCCCCCGCGCCGCACACGCGCGCAATCCTCGACCACCTCTTCTCCACCTTCCCCGCGCACGTCGGCAAGATCGGCAACTACGAGCGCTGTGCGTTCCTCACCCGTGGCACAGGTGCCTGCGTGTTCCCTCCGCGTTCCGCCTCCTTTCCCCTCTGCTTAATTGATTAAATACACGCGCCCCAGGCCAATTCCGCCCCACCGCCGCCGCAAACCCCACAATCGGGCACCCCGGCGAGCTCGAGTACGTCGACGAGGACCGCGTTGAGGTGCTCGTGCTCGACCGCATGCGCGAGGTCGTGCAGGCGCTCAAGGCGGTGGGTTACGCGTCCACTTATTCTAGTCTTGGAATAATGCGGAGTGAAGGTACATCCGTACGAGGAGGTCGCATACGATGTCTACAAGCTGGAGGACTATTGAACGCGTTCACATTTTCTTGTCAAACGAGGCTGTTGGGGGAATTACGCTCCGGCGTCCCGAATTCTTGTATTTTAAATTTATGCTCCCATCCCCATAGGGTTTACAAGGTCAAAGATTATTGACCCCAATAAGCCTTGGACGCGTCGCAATCCTTGTCCCCCATGGCCATGCCTAGGCCTCCAATGCACGACAACCGATACATACTTACAATCTATAGATACGCCAACCACAACAATGATATTTACTCATCCATTCTTCCATTGCTTTCTTCTTCTTTGTTCGTTCGTTCGTTCAGCTATTCTACCTACCACCACCACCACCCACCACCATCCCTCCAACCAACACCAACACCAAAACCACCAACAAACGTGTCCGTACGCGTTCGCCTCCCGTTGCCTTTTTGTTTCGGTCCCTCTCGGTTTTGGTACCCAAGCGCCCTCCGCCCCTAAGTCTTCCCTCAGCGCAGAGGAGTGCCGCGCCGCCCACCCCGCCCGCCGTCTAATAAGTGGCGGTCGGTCGGTCGTAAGTATCGTAAAGTAGAAATGATGTGCTTCTTGTCCGTTCGTTCTTTATTCTGGGTATGCGTTGGTTGGTGATACAACAGCGTGACGGGGTTCGACGAGATGATGGTAGTGTGAGTCCATGCGAGCGGGTGCGGGTGCGGGTGCGGGTACGTCGTCATCTGGGCGCGACGGTGGGTGCGGAGAAGAGGGGAGGCGGAGGGAAACCAGGGCTTGTTACAACAACACTTTGACTTTGGCTGGCGGGGGTAGCGTACTAACTTGGAAAAAAAAGGAAAGGAAAAGAAAAGAAAAATTGGGATAGATGGAATGGATAGATGGGATGCGAGAAAAAAAGGAAAGAAAAGAAAGGGAATCAAAACACTCCTCCACACACTCCTCCTACACTCTACCCTCCCCCCCCCTCCGGACGCGCCTATCATAGACGCCCTAAAAGTTACAACGCTCGCGCCCCCCACCGCCTACTTCGGCGCCTTCGCAATCTCCCTCGCCGCCTTGATCAGCGGCGCCAACGTCCTCAGCGGCTCGCTCAGCGCAAAGAACGGATGCTTCAGCAGCTCCGTCGCGTTCGGCCGCTTCTCCGCGTCCACCTCCAGCGTCTTTGCCAGGTAATCACTAAACACGGCGGAGAGCGACTCGGGGTTGGCGATGGTCGGCGTGCCGTTGGTCGCGATGAGGTACAGCGCTTTGAGGGGATTTTGGTTGAGGTAGGGCGGCTCGCCTTCGATCATTTCTGGGTCGTGCCAATGTTAGCATTAATTAATCAGTAGGGAGGGGACACGCAACGCACCGATGGCCATGATGCCGAGGGACCAAATGTCGACCTTTGGGCCGTACTCTTTGCGCGTGACGACCTCGGGGGCCATCCAATACGGCGTCCCGACCATCGTCGTGCGCTTTGCGTGCGCCGGGTCCGAGATTTGCGCGCAGAACCCAAAGTCCGCTGTGGGCCTCTTAGTGAAAAAATAGAGGTAAAAAAACGTAACGCACTCAGTTTAATATCCCCAATCAAGCTGAGCAGCACATTGTCGCTCTTGATGTCGCGGTGGATGACCCCATGGCGATGGAGGTGCTGCAGCCCCTGCGCCGTCTCCCGCGACACCGCTGCAATCTGGCCCTCCGTCATCAAATTCGCCGTCACCACATCCGTCAGACTCCCGCCCTCCATGTACTCCATCACCACCCACAGATCGTTCTTGTGCAAAAACGAGTCGATGTAGTTTACGATATTCGGGTGCCGCGAGCTGCGCATGACGAGAATCTCGTTGATAATCAGATCCTTCTTGGGCTGCTTCTCCAGGTCCATCTGCTTGATCGCGACACTCAGGTTCGTGCCGACCTGGTACGCGGTGTACACGCCGCCCGACGCGCCCTGCCCGATCTTGACGAGCGAGCGGTAGAGCCGCGTCGGGTCTGCGTCGGTGCAGATTTGCTGCAGACGCCGCACGATGTCCGAGTCCTTGTCTTTATCGGCCGGTTTCTTTTCGCGGCGGCGCGGGGTAGCGCCGGCCGCGCCAGCTTTGGCGAGGGACGCGGCGGCAGCGGAGGGTGGCTGGGGCGCACGTGGAGGGGCGCCGGGACGGAGGGGGAGGTCGCTCGAGGACGAGCCCGGGGACGGCTTCGGGGTGGTGCTATTGGCGGCACTGGCGGAGGGGGTCGGGGGCTTGGGTTGGCCTGGCCCAGGCGCGGCGGCGCGGTCGCGAGTGGTGTTTGAGCGCTCGACAGGCTTGGAGGCGGGGGGCTTTGAGGGGGTGCGCTGGGAGGTGGAGCGGTCGAGGGTGGGGGAGACGGCGGTCGGCGGCGTTGGGGCGGGCCGGTACGCCGTTGGAGCGGGGGACGAAAAGGCGGACTGGGTTTTTTTTGGCGGGGGTGGTGGTGATCGCTGTGGGCGTCTTAGTGTACGGTCAATTGGAAGAAAAAAATTGCAAGGGACTCACCGGGTTCTGGAAACCGTCGTCGGGAGGTTCAAAGGCACCCATTGCACCGAGCTTGTCCCAGCCCTCTGCCTGGCCCTCCTGGTAAAACTTTACAATCTCCATGACGGCCTGAGGGTTCTTCTCCTGGTCTGAGCGAGAGATGCCGCTCTCCTGGAGCAGCTGCTGCCATTCCTTGGGCAGCCCTGTAAACTCGCCGGTGGAGGTATTGAAGCCGACATGGGTGAGATGGACAGGGTCGTAGGGGGTGCTGATCTCTGGACGCTTCTGGGTGTTGAAGATGAAGCCCAGGCTGCCCAGCACGGACTTTTTGCCCTTTGAGGACGTGGTGCCGCTGCGGGAGCGGATAGTGGACTGGGCGTACTCCTGGGGTGGCGAGGGCAGCTGCTCCTGGGGATCTGCGTAGAATGCGCCGTCGTGGTTGGGGACGACCGGTGTCGACAGCCTGCGGATTGCCTGGTCTGTTGGGAGGAAGACGTCTGTGAGGGTGGCCGTGTTTGCACGAGAAGGACGGGGTGGGGGTGAACCGGCAGCCATGGGCTGGCTTGCGAAGGGGTCGGGGGAGGAGGAGGAGGGGAGACTGAGCTTGCGGGTGCGGGGATTGGGCTTCTGGAGGGAATTGCGGAGCTTGTTTGGAGGCGGGGGTGGCTGACGGTGAGGAATAAAGTTGTGTTGTGCGGCGTGGGCGTTGGCGTCTGCAAGGAGGGCGTGGTACTCCTGAATCGACTCCCGGGATGGTCTCTGCTGGTACTCGCTCGAAGACATGGCTATTCACAAATCACGTTTCATCTCTATCTGATTCTACACTCTTACAACCACCGTAACTCTACTCTTGTATTGTCCCTTGAAGCCCTTGAATCCCTATACAAAGCCTCTTCTTGACGTCAAGATCACTGTCAACCGACCCACTACCGCCTAGGTCCATTTGTCAACAAGTCAGCCTTGCACACTGAATTTACAAGAGGCCGTGATGGAATTAATATAAGAAACATGTACACAAGTTGCCCGAAGGCCGTGCTATTCCAGACAAGAGGAGCAGAACAGAAAAGTTATCAAACCGGAAATGGCCTTGCCTCGAATTGAACGCAATCCTCCTGCTTACAAATGCAATAAATTCTGCGAATAAGTAGCAGGTGTGCCCGTTGCACCACGTCGTAATTGCGACCTATACAATAGAATTTTAAGGTACTTATCGATTCAGGTGTCCGAAAGAAAAATAGAAATATCGGCAGTCGCACGCAGTGAATGTTGCAATTGAACTTCAATTCGTAACTCGAGACGGGGGCACAATTTAATTGCCAGACGCGCAGTAGGTAGCAGTTGACATTGAAAGAAAAAAGAAAAAAAAAGAAAAAAAAAGAAGAAAACAGCCTTCCCGTAGATAGCCTAACCTCGGTTCGAACGAGGTCCTCCTGCTTACCAATCTGGTTATGCTTGATATTTAGCAGGTGTGCCCACTACACCATTAGACCACGACTGTAATCTGCACAACAGACTCTAAGTGACTTGAGATTCATGCTGAAAAGAAGCGTCGGTTCAAGTTGAAGTTGTAACTCGAGACAGGGCCGACCAGAAAAAAAGTAGTCAACGCGACGCCAGCAAATAAGTCGCATCCGAGTAAGCTCAAGCAAACAGTGCAGAAATCGAAACTGGTCGGTCTACCCGCAACGCAAAATGCCTTGAGGCGAGCCGTACGCATGACATTCAGGCGCCGGGTCGTGGTTGAAACCAACAGCAGTGCTGCAGCGAAGGTTGTCGAAAACAAGGCCCGAAAGACTAGTCGGAAGACGGCGGTCTTCCGTGCAGGTTGTATTCTGAACCGCGTGAATCACATGTGAAAGTTCGAACTTGTTCAAGTCACATATAGAACGCGCGGCGAAAACCCCAGTAAACACACGGACGCCGAAAGGTCAGACATGAAGAAGAAAGACGAGCCACACATCAGGAATCGAGACAAGCCACATGAGAGTCTGAGACAAAAACGGTTCAACCGTGGTGGCGATGTCGATCAACTGATCGCCAAGCTAAGCTTCGCGCTTTGACCGGTCTTGGCAGTGAGAATTGAAAGGCGAGAAAGTAAAGAAAAACTCAGATGCGGATTGGGTGTAATACAATACATGGTAGTCGATACAGTTATGCGTGGGGAATTCCCCCGAGTCGTGGTTGTTCGTGAACACATGCAAAATAAATATGTAAAACGAGAAACTAATAGATGGCGCCCCAGCCTGAATGGAGCGCGTCAGTATGGGTTTATAAACATTTTAAAAAAAACAGCACTCACCCCACCAAATGGTCGCGAGCCGCATCGGGTCCGTCGCCTCTGCGATCAGCTCGTTGACCGTATACTCGACGCTCATCGCCTTGTCGAGCTTGCGCGCAACGCCAGTCAGCGCGCGGTCAGCCGCCTCATCCGCCGTCCCGCTCGCCATGTCAATCCCAATCCCCCCAAGCCCCGTCCGGAACCTCCCGAGCCCGCCGCCCGCGCCGTCCGCGTCCTTCTGCACATTCTTCAGCTTGATTTCACTCGCCGTCCACGAGTGCAAAGGGTCGTGCTTGAACACCTCGAGCACAGTCATGATCACCTCCGAGCCCTCCCTTAGGACACGCAGCGTCTCCTCCGCACAGCGCTGGAACACCCCCTGCGTCCCCGCCGCGCCCATCCCGTCCACGACGTCCGACGTCATCCGGAACGGCACCTGCTCTGGTACCGTCAGCAGCTTCCCCTGGTCAAACGCGATCCCGAGGTCGATGTGCACCATCTCGCCTGTCTCCGTGTCGAGCAGGATGTTCGACCCGTGCCGGTCCCCGAGCCCAGGATGTGTCCTACGATCGACGTCGTCGCGACGCTCCGCACGTAGTTCAGCCGCATCGCAAACCACGCCATCGGGTTCTTGTGCTTTTCCGTGAAAAAGTGGCGCATTACCGGGTGGAACTGTTTCTTGACGTCGAGATACCGCATAAGCTGCTTTTCGGGCTCGGGGAGCTTGCCGTTGGCCGCCTTGCCCCATTCTTCATACGCCTTGATTATGCGATCTCTGGCGACTTTGGGATTCAAGTCGTTCTTGTTGTACCTGCAAGTACCCTCGGTAAACGGTTTCGTGAAGTGTGAACTTGTCATACCTTACGTGTGCAGCCTGAAGCCAAAACTGCATAGGGGTCGTGTTGACGACAAACTCCAAAACCCCTGCCTGAGCACCGAGCGGAACGATCGTATAGCCGCGGACGTTGAGCTTCCGTCTATTGGTTTCCCGGTCGCTTTGTAGGACCGTATTGACGAGCGTAAACACCTGCTCCATGACCGCATCTTGCCGCAAGTCGTCGTTCCCTTCGCCTTTAAACTGCACCAAATGTGAGTCGGCGATGGAGGGGATATACGACTCTCTTACCAACTGCTTGTACCGCCCACCGTCGTTGCCTACGCACTTGCAAATCTTCGGCAAGTTTATCCCGCCAGCAGTCTCAAAATTCGACTCATACTTGTCAATAAATACGCAGTTATCGTACTTCAAGCTCGGATCGAGCGCCGGCGGGTACGTGAGCACGGGCACATTTACTCCGGAAAGCTTGCGAATGGGCTGGTCGGTCGGGATCGGATCGACTTGGACTTGGGGTGACTGGGGTGACTGGGATCGAGCGGCGTCTTCACGATCGCGAACTTGGCCCATGCCAGACAGGCGCCGGCCACGAGCTCGACGTCTTGATGCGTTTCGCGCTCTGAGGATCTCCGCGCAAGCGGTCGAAGATTGTAGTTGCTGCTTCGCTGCGCGCCATCGCTTGCGTACTCGGCGGAGAAGGACCGACGCCTGGCGTACTATGCCGGCCAGACTGGCGTTTATCTGTTGCGGCCGGAGGTGTATAGGGTAACAAGCCGTAGACTTGATACAAGCTGTGGAAGGGATGTTCTCGGCACATACGCAGTACGACGGTCTCCAGGTTTTCCTGGTTCTTCGTCGGCTCTGCCGTTTTCGAAAGCCGCGCAGACAGTTGATGCTATGCCGAGGTCAGTATTAGATGAGATGATGAGAAAAAGAAAAAAATACAGCCAGGAACACCAGTTTGCGCGAGGGGATTCTACCTAGTGCCTCCCTGACTTTGTCTTGGAACTCAAATTCTGTCTCGTCGAAGTTCTCAAACCACAAAGAACAAAGCCGGATAGCACCATCACCATCGAATGCATCCGAAGCCTCAAGAGCCCGAGAATACATCTCGATAGCGTGCGCAAGGAAAGTCTCGCGAGCCTTGTTGTGTTTTTTGAACAACTCTTGGTCGGTCTTCAAAAGTACTTTGGCGTCGTGCAGTGATTTCGCTTGACCTTGGGTTCTCCGTAACTGAACTTCCTGCGTCTTGCGGTCGACATAAACTCTCCATCGGATAGCGTCGGGTGAATTTTTTATGGCCTTGTATTGGTGTTCAGCGAAACTGGCGTATTGATGGTAAACTCTTGCGTGAGAGGCTGTGAACTTTGTGGGAGTTTTGTCGCGGAAGCTGTTGACGTAAGAGGTGGCTGGCTCAAAGTAATGAGCGGCGATGTCGGTTGGGTTCTCCAAGCAAGCTTCGGCCATCCAGGTGCCCTGATTTTACGATGAGACTAATAAAAAAGAGGATCCAAGAGCTTACCAGGCGAGCGAGGATAACGGCCTTTTCGGCTGGAGGGAGATGCGTAAGGTCGAGGTCTTTCAAGAACTGGATAGCTAGTTTCTCCTCTTTGTGGAGGCGCAGAACGCTAGCAAACTCTGCAGAGACCTCGAAAGAAGGCGCGTGTTCTAAGCTTTTAGCACGAATCACCGAATTGAGAGCAATTTGTATCTGCTGCGCGCCTCTGGCGGCTTGCGACAATTTAATGAGACACTCTTTCTCGACGTCAAGCAGGCACCTGCAAAATGGCGAGGTGAGGTTCCCGATTTGGTGGCGTTCCTCCTTTCTCCTGACCGAACGAACAAGAGATATCCGCGTCGCCATCACATTCTCAAAGTCCGAAAAACTAATGAATTGGTCAGACAACGCATATCGAAGGCTGGATGTCTAGTACTCACCCAAACCCCGTGCCTAGATCGATGAATTTTGACCACTGAGACCGATCGATTTGGCGAGTATTGAGACGGTTTTGGGTGCTGAGACTGAACCATTGTGAAACCTGGTTGAGACACATCAGGTTTTGAGCTGTGTCCCGAATCTCCGCGACATTCTCTGACCCAAGCACCCGAAGCCGCCCCATCTCCTCGGATATCGCGCCACGGACAACCGACTGGATCACGCGAGGGTTGCGTGCGCGATAAACTGCACGCAAAGCGTTATAGAGCGGCGCCCCGGGGTTTCCTTCGCCCTGCCGCTCAGGAAGATCCCACGTCTCCGTCCGCCAACCAAGGCGATAGTTCATGCCCGGCGTGAACGTCGCGCCAGCACTGAACGAGGAGCTCTGCAAGGTGTCGATCGCAAGGTGATTGAACCCGAACGAGTGAAAGGATTGCAATAGCCCGTCGGCCTCTGCCGCATCAGTACTTCCGGCCTCCAAAGAAGCGCTATGGAATCGAAAAGCCTTGTCCCATTGTTTTTCGTGATGAAAACGCTTGATAAGGAATTGGTGCAGATTCTGGGTTTTGATACCGTAAAATCCGTCGGGTTCATCGATGTGGCTGTAAATTTCGTATAGAATGGGGGCAGCGCCGTCGTCGGTGGGGGCGCCGTCCGAATACTCGGCGGCAAGTTCTAAGAAAAGGAGTGACGTGGTGTAGGAACCGCATGCTATGGAATTGCGAGCCAGCAGCGTATAGTCGATGGCTAACCACTTATCGTAGGACAATGAGTCGACTTTCTTTTGGTCGGTCTTTGCTACGTCCTTTTCGACTTGGGGAGTGAAGTTCCGCAAATGGAGAACGATATCGACAATAGAGCACACGACCGGAATGCTGGCGTGCCCGGTTTTCAGAACGGTGGCAAAGTAAGCAGAAAGTGTCTTTCGGCACGGCAGAGCGGATAGGGGTATGTTCCCGGCAGTGGACCGTTCACTTTCCAAAACAGAATGCACCAAAACCGGCAACGTCTGTTCGGTGAAGGTGGCATCAGATTGCAGAATGAGGGTTAATTGGGCATAAAATGGCTCTGCAGCTGACAGGATGTCGCTCAGCAAGGTCGCCACCATACCGACCCATCGCGGAAAATCTCCAACGGTATCTATGTAAGCGTCTGAGGTCATGAGCTCCTCGAGACTGCGAACTGGTCTGGTCTTCGGAGTGCGCCTATAGGCCTGGAGGTACCGCAGCTCATCCACATACTCATGAGGCACATGTGCGGAGACATTCAGAGACACCGACATGATAGAGCGGAGTGTCCGATATGCAACGTGAACCTGAGAACCGTCGCTCGCTTCGAGCATGCTCAGTAACCCATGGACGATCCAATTTTGTGGCAGGGCTCCGGATGTCGCGTCGCGTCGTTGTCTACCACGAATTGAATGCTGCTCGCGATCGAAACT